ACCCATGTTAGTTGAAGCTGTTCAAACGACGATGACTTTCCTTAAGAATGAAAACCTAACGAAATATGCAAGTTTGCAAAATTCAGCTCAAAAGCTATCTTGGGCATGTGTGAGTGCTGCATCTGCTGGCTGTGACTGTTGTCCAAGTAACTTGTGAGATCGCGGTTAGGATCTCATTTAGGAGAATTTATGTAAAGTAGATTTCTTGCTGTTTTTAGCTGCTTACATTCAGTGTATGCTGAATATTTTAATTTTATTGTAGAATTTTACTCTTATGTTGATAAAGTTCATCTGCAACTCGACACTTTATTGGGTTGACTTCTTGATCTCGGTTAATTTTCCTCTGTTGTCAGTAAGTCACGTGACGGGTATCCTAAAGGCTTTGTTAAAGGAGCACAGTCACGGTATTTTGAGTTATTTCGGCCTCGTACAAAATTACCTTTAAATTGAAGGAAACCTGAAAATAATAACTGTATCAAGTTAGAAAAACATTAAAGAGATAATAATAAACCATAAAGGAACAAGGATGGCTAGGGATGGAGAAGATTAACACGGATTGTAAACGATGATCTTGAAAAATTTAGGCTAAACTTTTCAAGAAGTGCAAACCGTGACGTAGCTCTTTTAAATGGTTATTAGAGCCCCTTGCCCGTGTGTTTTGACTAATGTTTTAATAATAGATGTTGTTTGATCGGTCTTTTCCACCTCATTTGTTAGTTTTATACAATTTGCATGGTCACCTTATACAATGTATTGATGGACGTATCTTTTGCAGGAGTGTTCTTGTCTAATGAAGTCTTATTATCATCTTCATAAGGTATGTTTTGTGATCGCCCTTTCCCCCCCCTCATTTGTTAGTTTTATGCAATTTTCATGGTCACCTCGTGTAATGTATTGACGTACGTATCTTTTGCAGCTGCGCCCTGTGCTAGGGATGAATGGTGATGACAAAGTACTCTAATCAGCGTAAACCTACTACGTGTATATTCAGTAAAAAAATGTTCCTTCTCTCTTACAAAAAGAAGAATGAAGATGCAATATAAAGACACCTTTTGCGCTCTGCATAACAAAGTGATGAGCAAAATAGCTCTTTCATCGCTATACGCCCGGCAGTAGCCTGCAGAGAGACAATAGCTTGCAAAACAGGCGGATAGACATAGACATAGTCAGTTTATTTTACTTGGACAACACACTTAGCTATGGTAACGGTGCGTCCCATAGACTTGATAAGCAGAGTCTACTGGACACACCAGCCAGTTTACAGGTGCGCCAAGAAAACAAAATAGCAAGTGAAAGTAACAATGTATGCACAATTGGTTTTAAATATTACTATGAATTAAGTGTTCTGGTCGCTGTTTCCCTTCAAGAAAATTAATGTAAGATAAAGGATCGGGAGTGGTCATAATGGAGAAGTCCGAATATCTACGACTAGTATCCGAAGCATCCATCAATGACTGATTCAGGTAAATTTCGGGTGGTTCCTCTGGAAAGGCCTTCGAGTAAAGGTAGACCACCAACATATTACCATCCATTACAGAAAGAAAAAGATTTAGATCCCATCATTCGTAGAATTCTGCTCAAGTCTATTGCAGATACGGTCTGCCCTACAGGCTCCAGATTAGCGCATTTGTATGGTTTACCAAAGACACGCAAGGATCGGTTGGCGATGCGCCCCATACTATCAGCAACGGAAACATACAATTACGCTTTGGCAAAATGGCTCGAGACTAAACTCAAGCCTCTGTCCTTCAATCGTTACACAGTAACTGACATTTTTGAATTTGCAAACAAAATTCGCAACTTGGAAATCGCAAACGGTGTCATTTTGGTTTCGTGCAATGTAAGTGTCTTCCTTGTTTACTAACGTGCTCTTAGATGAAACGATACAGTTTCTCGCGAACAGAGCTTTCACAAACAATTGGTTTAATACAACATACGACTTGAACCTCACCAAAACGGATCTTGTTGACCTTCTCAGTGTAGCTACCAAAGGAAAACTATTCCAGTTCAATGGAGCCCTGTATGAACAGACTGATGGCGTGGCTATGGGATCCCCTCTTGGTCCCTTACTAGCTAATGTGTTCATGTCCCACATCGAAGAAAACATTGAGCAAGAGGGTAAACCCCCTTCTTTCTATCGAAGATATGTTGACGATACGCTCACCATCATGCCGAATATAGCAACAGCATCTAACTTCCTGGACGCGCTTAACAAAGCACATTCCTCCGTAAAATTCACGATGGAAACCAAATGTAATGGAATGCTCCCATTTCTGGGTATCCAGTTACTGAACCGATCACCTCAAATAGAGACAGGTGTACGTAAAACCCACTAATTCAGGTCTACTCTTGCAATATCAGAGTCGTGTTGACAATCGGTACAAAAAGGGTTTACTGAGAACTGTGCTTGATCGAGCACATCGTTTATCTTCATCTTGGTCACATTTTTCCGACGAATGTGAACGTTTGAAGACAGTATTCACACGTTTGAAGTATACCATCAAAAGTTTCGTTGACTCAAAGATTTGTCACCAGCAGCAGCTTTTATCACCATCTCAATAGACAGATGACACGATTCGAGTAATTTTACCATTTAAAGACCAAATCTCAGCAGATATTATGACGAAACAACTTGAGGATCTGAGCCTAAAAGTACACACCACCATCCAGACTGTGTTTGTGAGCCGAAAAACTGAACGAGAACCAAATGTGAAAGAAACAAAGCCACCAATTTTAATGAGCAGTATGTTGTTTATAGTTTTCAATGTGACCTGTGTGATGCGGGTTATGTTGGTTACACACGCGGACATTTACATAATCGTTTAAAAGGACATAAACAACAATCCTCCGCCATTGCCAAACACTACAAGAACGTGCACGGGAAAATGCCTCAGGACCTGCTAAAGCGTCTCGAAGTGCTTAAGAAATGCAGAAACAAATTTGACTGCTTAGTGTACGAAATGCTTTTTATAAGAGCTTTAAAGCCTAATCTCAACGTGTAATCAGACTCCATTCGTGCGAAAGTATTTTCATAATCTTCGCACTCTTTTATGTTAATTCTTCGCGCCAAAATCGCTTTAAATGCTGTAATTTGCATAATCTTATATACTTTTTCCTTGATAATGGAATCATGACTACTCCGAAACGTCGGATTTTATCGTTCGTTTTTACCGTTTTATGTTTAAAGAAAATTAATATTTAAGAAGATGTAGTAAAGTTATCGGAATGAAATTGGAAAGGAGTCCATTCCTTTTTACTCTAATCAAAAGTTCCACATTATTGTCGTGTTTCAGGCTCTCCAAGATGGGAAGAAACCAGACACCACATTACGCACTAAAGGTAGCTAATGTTTTACAGTTGTACATGTATCCCCACATAGTATCTTTCTAATTAGCCCCTTATATTTCAATTAAATACTTGCTGAGTGATTCAGTAAGAATAATTACATTATGCTCTTCCACTGTTTGAGTTTGTTTTTATTAGCTAAGAGTCAATGCTTTATACACTTTAAAGTACAGGGATGGTGCTTTGCATGTATTAAATCGGCAAATTTCAGTGGCTTAGAGAGGGCTTATCACTGGCTGAAATTTCACCAGAAAACAAAGGAAATTAGGCAGAGCTTGGCTTGTTAATGAGCCTGCTTTTTGCATAGCTACATGGACATACCTGATATTGTTAAATCAAGAGCAGGGATTTGAAGTACGTTTAATTACAACTGCAATATATCACTATCCCTGTGGTGTATTGTTGCAAATGATACTGTTTTGTTCCTGAAAATGTCCTACCCCTCCTACAAATATTATTTTAGCCTTGTGTCCTCCCACCTCCCACCTCCGCTTACCCTATGCAGCCCCTGGAAGTTTCAGTTAGCCTTCACACTTTCCTTTTGAACCCTTTGGCACTCGAAATCCTGTCTCCCTTGAAACTCCAATGACCTTCCATTAAGGGTGGTTCACACCCAAATTAGCTGTAGTAGAAGAAGAGGTTTGGTTTATGGCCCATTATCAGTGGAGAGAGTGGTATAATTCAAATTTAATGGCTCAAAAGCTAAATAATTTGGAATACTGGCTAATGACAAAATCTGCTGTCTCTCGCTCCAGGTTCCTCTGGCAGATGAATTTCCTTCCAAAGCCGAGGAGAGTGATGATGGTGAGGAGGAAGAGGAAGAGATTGAAGTTGGTTTCGAAGATGAAACAGACACAACCCAGAGTAAAAAGACTCTCATCAGAAGGTAAACTTGTCCTATTGTTCTGATTTTTGTTCATTACAGTTGAGGGGTTCAAATGTAGTTTTTCTTCCAGGTCTCTGAATGATAAAATAAGAAGTCAAATTGTTCGTGCATTTTGATTAACTTTTTTTTTTGTCTTTATTATATAGAACAGAAAGAATCCATGTTGTTGTGGTTCTGTTCTGTAATAGGTCACAGAAGACGTTAAAATGTCGTAAAAACATCAGTGAAACACTCACCTAAAGGCTCGTGTCCTCTCTTTGTGGTTCTTACCACATTTTTGTTTCATCTATGATCTATTTAACAATGAGATTATGACCTTGGGGGCACAGCATGCAACAACTATCACACATAGAAATCGAGAGCAAAACTCCTCCTACAGACACTTCAACAAAACAAAGAAGGGCTGCCATTTTCATTGTTAAAGGAGTAGGTCACTTCAGAAACCATGTATTTTTTTCCATCAGTAATAAAAAGTTCTCATTGAGTTGAGTTACCACCGTTGTTTTAGCTTCTGAAGTGGATGCGATCCCAATGAAATTTGTCTCCAAAGAAGAAAAAAATTTGACATATGGGGCCTGTACAGGCCTGCAAATGATCCCCTTACCGCAAAGGATCCCCAAATTGGACTGCAAATGATCCCAGGATCATCCGCAAAAAGTTAGGAATGGTGTGGACTCCATGAAAAGTCTATGGATGGATACATATTTTCTGAATTGATCCTTGGTGAAGGAAAGACAAACACCTCAGGCATGAAAGCGGCAATAAAAAACGTTAAACATACTGCGCAAAAGACCAAATTGACATGTGTCGACTGTAAAAAATTCTTGTTTAGGGGACACACTGCATAAAGAAACATGAATCTTCGAAGATGCCTCTCCATCTTATTATAAACGCATAGAACTTTTCCCTTTACACGTCTTATACTTGCGTCCCAGATAGCCTCGGCCTCCCACGAAAGTGTACAAGATAAATTGAGTGCGAGTTACCGCAGTGCTCTTTAGATATATTTATTTGCATGCCGTATGAGTAGAACGGTCACTTTTGCTGGTGGAATTTTTTTTACTGTCAGTATCCTCCTCTGTGCCGAAAGCTACGCGAAAATGTTGTCAATCCACTTGCGTGAATTCTCAGTTGTCTGCAAATTTGAGGACAGAGTAACAGACATCTCAGGCACGGACCTAATTATTAAGTAATTCAGGGAAGGACCTTGCTAAACTGCAAATTTCAACCACAGGATTTTGTGACGTTGGTTCTCATTTTTTAAGTTGCAAAATTGCATTCAAATCGTTCATACTGCACATTTTGATTGCGTTACATACGGTAAATGCTGTATAAAAATATTGTATTATTACTGTGAAACTCACAAAACTGTGAATAACAGAAATATTTAAGGAATTTTATTGCGTAGCAAGGAAAAAGCCAATTAAGCTAATTCCCTTGAAATTTTTCCACCACCAAACTTTTGAAACTTGGCATAATTAACGTTCATGATATGAACATTAAAACATGCAATAAAAAAATGGGGTCACCTTGCTTGTTTGCGCGTCAGCAGGCTCTTAAAATGGGGTAATTTTACTGGTTGCGTGTGAAAAATTTGAATCACCCTCATGCTGAATTAAGTCTTCGTTACTTGAAAGACACAAAATTTTATCTTGAAAGTAAAACTTCTTTTATTCACATGGCAGTATTGCTTCAGTTAAGCCGTTTTTGATTGCTTTGTTGTGGGAATATTGCACTTTTTAGGACAGTTCCGTGGTTAGCTTGAAGTCCTCGCCTTGGCCAAAATACACCCAGTACGAAAATCATGTTCTACTATCAAACTTTTTTTCTTCTTCAAATATGTTCTTTGTTAGACTGTTCTTAGCAAATACCTGAAAAAAAAAATCGGGTGTCACTGCGCTCGTTTAAGAGAAAGGAAGCATTTATTTCGCTATTGAGCTTAGTTTGAGGGAAATCTCTTACGTTTTGTACACGCACTTAAGTGTGAGAAAACTAAACCACAGACACCAGCGATAAATGGTTGTGGCTTTGAGGTTTCTCGCGTGTCCTGAACTTTATTGTGACTGGTTCAATAGACAATTAACCTTTTAGAATCAAATCCAAATTTTCACTGTTTTCTGAGCTTCAAAATAATAAAAAAGTAGGTTCACCATGAGCAGATGAATCCACGGCCGTAGGTAAGTGGATTAGGAGTCTCAGCAGGACCTGGGTTTAATTCAATGTCTCCACATAACAAAAGCTTCTTTTCTGAGAAGAGGTAGTTCTTATTATCAAACTGAACTTGGACAAAAATTCTGGGTAACATTTATAATTCCTACCAGAAGACCAACACTTTTCTTGTTCAAATTTTGTTTAAAAAAATCGAGTGAAGAAAGACTCTTCTTCGTGAGCAAGCTTGGCAATCCATAGTTCACAACTGGTAGCCAGAGTGAACAAAACAGATGAAACGGGAACACTTTTCTTCAAGAAATGTTTAATTCTGCCCCTTACTTTTCTGCGTTTAACTGATTTTATCTGTCTCTATTCCTACATGGAGCAACTGATAAGTATACTGATTAAAGATTAAAGATTTACTCTATAACATGTACCTTGCCTTAAGTGTAAACACCGGAAAGATTGTCTTTCACTCCGGGTATTTGCAGAAAAAATGCTAGTTACATAATGACCAGGCATAGCTTCTGTGGATGTGTTTTCCATGGTCTTGATTTCGTCAACTAAAGCTTTTTGTTTGCACTCTACTAAGAGAGTCATATCTCCTTAAGAGGCAGTCTCATGTAATCGCGGTGGAATTGACTGCGTTGTGCTCTGACTGCATAAGCCTTCGAAAAGGGATGCGTACTCCCTCGAAAGGGCTGCATAATCCCTTGAAAGGGTTGAAATATACCTTAAAAGGACTGAATAATCTCTTGAAAGGGCTGAATAATCTCTCGAAAGGGTTCAAACTTGAATAATCCCTCGAAAGGGATTCAAGTTTCCTTGAGAGGAATGAATTACTGCAGACAGTGAATTCGTGATTTCTATGCCATTTGAGTCGCCCAGTGATCGATGTAACCGGCCTGATTCCAGATTCTGTTCTACATTGCGAATATTGTTTTAAAATTTGAATGCATGGAATTAATGTCCTCTGCATCACAGACAACATAATTTAGGGACCTTTATACGATGCAAGGACAGTAAGGCCAAAACGGGAACGGCAGTGGACACGGGAAACTTTCGCGTGCCGTGTCAGCAAAGACAAAATGCTGTAAGTTGTGTAATTTTCGTATAGGACGACGACGTCAATAACTCCAGCTTCATAAAAGCTTTTCATAAAACCAATGACGTCCCTTTGAGAAATATCATCCAGTTAAGCTTAAACGATGGTGAGCAGACGACGACACGGAAGTTACTCTTAATAATAATGATAATTTATTTCTAGCGCATTACATTAAAAAATCTCAATGCTCTTACCGAATAAAAATGAGAAAAACGATAACGAAACCAATATAAGGAAAATATCTTAAATTACAATGGATGATAAAATACTAAAATTCATTAAATACTAAATTTCGTCATAAGATACTAAAATTCATCATAGAATACTAAAGATCATTGTTAAACAAAAACGTTTTAAGCTTAGTTTTAAACGTATCCACTGATGGGGCACTTCTCACATCAAGTGGGAGGCTATTAAAGACGTCAAAGCTTGTTAGCTTTGACGTCTTTTATCGTGTATAAATAAAGGTTGTATGTATGTATGTATGTANCTTCAGAGAGTTGTCTGCTTTATGGGAGGTTAAAAATGTAGTGGTTGTATTTGTCAGAAGTGATCATTTACAGGAGATGTTTTTGCCTACAAGAGTTGTCCGTGAACGGAGGTTGAACTGTATTTTTCACTAATTCCTTGCATTAAGTAGGATCAATATTTATACTACTAGGAAATCATAAGCCAATCTCGTTCCCAGGGTCTCTCATCTTCCCGCTCCAGGAGGTGGGAAAATGAGAGATCCTGGGAACGGGGTTAGTCATAAGCATTGGGGTGTACATGTAATAAATGTAAATGTGTAGTTTCATGTTTCGTAACTCTGATTTTTCAGAGTAGTGTCTCCTGAAGGTGACACCTGGAACCTTCAGGAAGCTGCAGGATCCGTGACATTTTGTCGAGGAGCCAGGACAAAGCCTTTGTTCATTACATGTTCCTTATGGAATCCCAGGGCCCTCTCTCCACCTCTTGGCAGAAATGAGGTCCTGGTAAGCAACGTGATTGAACTGTCACTAGACGGTCCACTTGACCTGGAATTCACTGGGGATGACCAAGGAAGCGTTACTGTGGCTTTGATGCACAGTGCCTCTAATTTAAAGGGGTATGAAGTTGTTATCAAGCAGTTGGTTGACCCAGAAAACAATGAGTGGATAGATTTGGTGACCCACACCTTTTGGCGCACATCAGGTATTGCATTAGAACAAGTGTGGTATGGTCAAGAAACTAAAAGTGGGAAACACCTTGTACAGCATAATAAACAGTTGGACTGAGAACGTACCGTAAATAAACTGTTTATAATTCATACTTGAATAGCCCCACTAATCGCTTATTCATATACGTTCAAATTAACACCGCCTTTCAAAGCATAGTAAACTATGATATTTCCTTTAAAATAAAATAAAAATAAATAAATATACATTTATATAGCGCCATTTTCCACTAATTGTCCATGGCGCTTTACAATACTTTAAAATTAAAATCCTAATTCTTTAAAAANTTAGGCTACAAATAAAAAGTAAAAACTACAAATCAAATGCACGCTTAAAAAGATAAGTCTTAAGATTAGCCTTAAAAACTGCCTCTGAACAGTTCTACCCTAGAATTTCATCCATAGACTTAAAGGTCAGATGATGGTTAGTTACACATATTGATAACTCAGTTGCTATAGCTCTGTACTGGTATTGCAAGGTCACGAGTTCGAATCTTGTTCAAACCTGAATATTTTGTCAGGTGATATTTTTGCAACTACTCAATTAAGATACATGATGTTTCATGTAATCTCTTCCATAATAATACGTAATGGAGTTGACCGCTCAAAAGCTCTGCGTAATAGGTTTTAACTCTCCCCAAACTATGCGCATACATGTACATAGCCATTATGGCAAAAATGAAGAAAATCAACTACTAAATCTACTCTCTGTATCTTAATTGAGTAATTGCAAAAATCGGCAGGCACATAGAGGAGCATGGGCTAACGAAGTCTGCTTTAGAGGACAAACAATTTTCTATTTTGAAGAAATGCAGATCGAAGTTTGATTGATTAGTTTTTGAAATGCTTTTCAAAAACTAATCGAGCCCCGTGTTGAATACACAGAAAGACTCAATTCGTGCCAAACTTTTTACGTGACTCTTTGCATGCAAATAGTTTACATTATATAATTTTAACACTTTTTAGAATTTCTTATCATTGTTTTCTTTGCGTTAGTGTCTCTAGGAATTCTTAGTTTATATTTAAATTTGTATCCATTTTATTCACTCAGTTGACTTGATAATGACGTTAAGCGAACGTCGAAACGTCGTCGTTGTTTTTAAACCAAAATGGTTTTACGTTTTCCCATGTTATCGCAGTGTTTTAAAGTTAAATTGTTAAAAAATCTCTTCTTCTACGCACTCTCAAATGCTCAACGTAAAACAACTCATACAGCTCAGGAGATCTTACATCGACTGACATAATTATAGAATACAGTTACAATATCAATAATTATGGGATAGAAAAGTAATCATAATTGTGATATACTTGTGTTGCAGCTAAATCTGTCGTTCCCAACTGGCATTTCCCATTTGCTGAAGCTGCATGCTCAGTAACACGTTATTCCTCCTTTGCCGCAATCTGGCGCCTCAAATCTTTCATTTTCCTGAAGCCCAAGCTCGTCATTCCTGAATTTAC